TGTGTTGCATACTTGTGTAGTTCCTAATAAATTATATTCTTATACATCACTCCTGAAGCCTGCGTTTCCCTGTGTCAGTCCACACACATCTGGTCATACCTGGAGCCTTGACAGAATCCCTGCCTTTTCCCATCTGACCATTTGCATTCACACTCATCATTGCACTGCCTGCTCCTGAACTGACCCTGGCCTGTTATTTGACCACGCATATGCATGCCGCCTACATTGACTATACATCTGCCTGCTTCGGAATGGACCCTGGCTTGTTTATTGACAATGTCTCTGCTTGCCATCTGAACTATCAACCATGATTCTGCCTTTCCCCTGAACTGACCTTGGCCTGTTAATTGACCCCCCCTTTGCCTGCTGCTTGGCCTGATCTTTTGCCCTGTAACTGTAATAGTGGGATTCAAGATAACACAGGGGTCTCACGTATGTGAGGGTCTCTAGAGAAGTTTTTCTGAGTGGAGACAACTAAGATTTTGGTTTTCTCCAGGTTATGTAATTCTAGGATTAGGGTCTGCAGACTGGATGCTTCGAAGAAATTTGGGTAGGAAGAAGCCTCTACCCCTGTGCCCAGGTCCTACCTTACTGAGGCCTTAAACCTGATATTTCTGCCAGCTGCCGACTAGCCCTGGCCTGCTAATTGATCCTGCCTCTGCCTGAACTGACCATACCTCTGCCTGCTACCTGTACTGACTATGGACCATGTTCCTGCCTACTGCCAGTACCAATACTTTGGCTGTGCTGACCATTTCTCTGGCTGCTGCCTAGACAATTTGTTTGGCTGTTGCTGACTACATACCTGCCTGCTGTCTCCAGGAGTAAGTCATTGACAACTATGATTTTTTAAATTATTTGCTTTAAAGTAGAACTAAAGGCAAATCCTTTTTGAGCATACGCAAATATGTGGCCTCTCGGCAGCTTGGCCTTGATGCCAAGCGGCCACATATTTGCATACCACTATGGACCATGTTCCTGCCTACTGCCAGTACCAATACTTTGGCTGTGCTGACCATTTCTCTGGCTGCTGCCTAGACAATTTGTTTGGCTGTTGCTGACTACATACCTGCCTGCTGTCTCCAGGAGTAAGTCATTGACAACTATGATTTTTTAAATTATTTGCTTTAAAGTAGAACTAAAGGCAAATCCTTTTTGAGCATACGCAAATATGTGGCCTCTCGGCAGCTTGGCCTTGATGCCAAGCGGCCACATATTTGCATACCACTTGTAAACAATCATGTGCTGAGATCGTGCGCCCTGCACGCTCCAAGCGCATGTGTCAGTGTCCGACGACGGAAAGGTCCCAATCTCTCCTTGTGATCGGGACCTTTCCAATCATGTGACTGTCGTGAAAGCCAATCACGGTGGTCACATGACCCTAAGCCCCGCCCCGCATCCTGGCGTCAGAAACCTCTTAAAGGGCCGGGAGGCGCCGGCATGAAGGGGTAAACTTAGATAATGTAAAGGATGGTTATAACCTCTGTCAATTTTTTATGCCAACAGTGCCCCCAATGGGACAAATTCCCATCACTTTGTCTCCCACAGCTAAAACATGAAGTGAGAGGAAATCCCTTAAATGTGAGGGAGTCCCTGGTTGTCACCAGAACTAGTGTCCTCATTGAAAGACTTCCCTTCTATTCCTGTTCTGGTGATAACCCAAAAATTTGGGATTTTCTTTCACTTTCACTGTCAGTGATAGCATTCACCAGGACAAATAAAGAGGGCAAATCTCCCTAACGTGGTTTCAGACAGCACTAAAAACCTGGCAGATGTTTTAAACTCTGTCCACTATATAAAAAATGCCTTTAGGTATACTTTAAATAGGAATAACACTCTATGTTAGATTAATGGCCTGACAAATAAAATGAATTAGTCTGAAATGTATTGCACCTCGTGAGAGCCTCTGTGTTGAGGGTATCCCCAAGCCTCTCCTCGCACAACCAGTCCGTGGGCTTGCTTTTTGTATTTTACTAGGGTAAATCAACTTGGATGGGGAATAGGGATTATGGGATGCCCAGTTTGGCTTGAAACAATGGATGCAAATGGAGAAACAGAAAAAGGGCGCACCGACCTAGTGCATTATCATTTAAAATATTTATTGAATAAACAAAGTAAGTATCATACTCACAATAGACATAAAAACACAGGCCAAGGTTGGCTCTGAGGAAGAGGTTGTGTCCTCGAATCGCGTTAGCCAGTTGGTCATCCAGGGTTCCATCTTATAGACTCAGATGTTTGAATCATACATCTTGTTCAGTTTGACATGCCTGTGTTTTTATGTCTATTGTGAGTATGATACTTACTTTGTTTCTTCAATAAATATTTTAAACAATAATGCACTAGGTCGGTGCGCCCTTTTTCTGTTTCTCCATTTGCATCCAGTGTATTTGGACCACCCCGGTCTGTTGAGGGCAGCAAGCAGTGCATGTTCCAGAAAATTCCAGAACATTCCTATTGGGTCTACTGAGTCTTTTCCTAGTGCAGGAGAAAAGTGTTTGTTGTGTTGGATTGGCTTGAAACAATGGAAGGGGGACATTTCCCTCTTATGTACAAAAGGCAGATCCTGAACTGTTCTTTTCCTGAAAGCTGTTAGTCAGGATCAGTAGCAGCTGCCCTCTACAAGCGAGGAACTAGCAGCCCCTCAAAAATCAATTATTTCTTCTAGCTACATGCAGAAATGTCTTCTCTCCCCTTATAGAGCTGCTCCCAGCTCCACAGCATGCAAGCACTACCAGCCCTCGGAAGATCTCCCGGGACAAGGATAAAGGATTGAGCCCGAAAAGCTTAGAAAGTTTGCTACATTTGGCAGTCTTTCCCCTTGTAGATCCCAAAGTGTGCTGCTGTATTTACACTGGCCTCCTTGCTCCCTACTGATCCAGGCCTTGACCCCATCCACGCCTCTCTGCAGAATTTATCTGCCTGAGCCAGCCCGTGCCCAGCCTAGAGGCTGGCCCCCCCAGACCAAGGGGAGCCCTCCTAGGCACCAACAGTCTCCTCAGCACTCCATCTTCAACCTGACTCCTCTGTCAGCCTGACTATCCCATATTTATAGGACAGTCCACCATTCTACCAGGGCCTCGAAACCTGGGAATGGCCAGGACCCCCCCCCCCCCCCAAATTATGCAGATTAGGCCTCCAACCCTCCCTTATTTCAGATTTCTGGAAGGTTCTATGGTCTTCCAGAGTCAGGAGAAGGTGATAGAGCCGCAACCTGTTGAGTCATCCAGCTGACCTGCAATAATCCAACCTCAATCACGTGACTCACAAAACTACCAGGAATCACATACAATGATTTTGCCTATAATACTCTACACTATTCTAGTAGCATACTACAAGATGCTACAGTATATATATATTTTTAACATTATTATTACATAACTATATGGTTACTATTAAAAAAAATATTAAAATGTTTAGAGGAACTGAACTAATAAATTAATTTGTCTTCCAGATTGTGTACAGCAGTAAGGCTCCATAGACTGTGAGGATGAAATTCACAAATCCATTGTATTAGCAACTAGCTGCCATTGCTGGCTTCTCATTCTTCAAATGCTAGTTCACTGGTATTGATGAGTGGAGTGATTTTTGCAAAGGTAAAAAACTCTCAGTTTTGCTTATCAAGCTCCTTGAAAGCAAGTCTACTTTTTTTTTTTCCTTATTAAGAGGGTGCTTTGTGTATTTGGGGTAATTTAGATTTTTTAATAAAATGTTCTTTGCATTTGTGTTTTGATGCTTTCTTTTTTGCACTCTGTTTTTACAATAATGAAGGGTTGTTTTACGGCTCAAGAACAGGTCCAGAATGGATGAAAAAATCTTCCATAACCACTGGTATCCATTTAAAGTTTACTGCCCACCTCCTTAATTTCACCTTCCCCTTTGGCTCTAATGCGTTTTGCCAAACAGACAACATTTCACTGAAATCTCCCAATGCTTGCTAATACTTCAGGAAAGTGCAAACTTTCAGTTTCATGTTGACCCTCTGGCTTTACAGGATTAGTTCGCCTTTACAAAAAACTGCCTATGCAGGTAAGGGCAGGGGTGGACTGACCATTTGGAAACTCAGGCACTGCCCGAGGGCCCGGGGTCAGTAGGGGGCCCCATGAGATGCCCCTGGTACCTTTTTCATAGGTTTTTTTGAGTTTGGGCAAGGACACAGGGGCCCCATGATCCCCTATTGCCGGGAGCCCCATGAGTTGTCAGTCCACCCCCGGGTAAGGGGTGCATTACCTGGTAGCCTTAATGGTTTCTCTCAGGTATAGTTTACTTTAAAACTTTCCAGTGTTGCCAATAAATGAATCTAACATGACCCTTTAAAAATATAGATGCTCAGACAGAGCTGGCACTAACCAACAGCAGAAAAATACATCTATCTTTCCCATGAGGAACTTATGTGTCCATCAATTACATACATTACTACTATTAGCTCCATCCATTGCTGCAACAATGTGCCACATATTCAATATTAATAATATCAACACAACTTCACAGGTTTCTGTGTGTTGTAAATGAGTGATAGAGCCTTTCACCACAAAGTAATCAACTGGATCAATTGGTGGGTTCAGGCTATCTGTGTGTGCTGTGCCTTGAAGTCTGTCACAGCCCCGCAGAGTATTCACTTCTACAATAGCTAGGAAGTATATTAGGTGGAGGAAAAAGTCGCTAGGACCAGCAGGGCACTGGCTGCTGAGATAAAAAAGAAAAACGGCTCTCCTCTATTTCATAAAGTCATCCCTAAATCCAACTTCTATGGGTTTAGGGGTGTCTGTCTGCACCATAACAGCCAATGACATTTTGTACACAGGGCAATGTTACTGAGCTGCAGTAAGGATGCAGTGTCCTATATGGACACTCTGGTCTCAGGTTCCCCCTTCACTGAGTGCCATCTGAGGCAATTGCCTCACTTTGCCACAATCACAAAATGCAAAAATGTACCAGAAAGTGCTCTTGTACATTTGATTAGGCAAGAAGTGACTTACAGGACATTCAGAAGTACTCACTGTTTTGGGTTTTCGGTGATCTGTTTCAGCACTTGGCAGTAGACCTCATCTTTCAGCCCTGGCTTTTCTTTGCATAGCTGAAGAAAAACTTGTTAACAATATTGTCTAAATATATGTCTTCTCTACAGCATCTATTTGCTATGCTTACCAACAAGATATCATAGATACATTTGACATCATCCTGCTCTCGGTACTGCTGGTCTCCCATGAACCTCATCAGAGCTGGGCAAAAAAGAATATACAAATTAAAGCTAAACTTCATGCAGATGAAAAAGTGACTCACTTATGTACTCATTCATATTTTGTTAAGTCCCAGAAATAGATTGTATGATGTTTAACTGATTACATAGCAATTTTAATTTTCATAGGCTTACTTCAATTTTCCTGTCATAGCAGATGTACAGTGTTTCTACATATGACTGTGCAGTTCTATAGGCACTAGGGTTAGGGGCTCTACACTGAACACAGTGCGCTGCAATGCAGATGTATTATGCACATTTTTGTGCGTTGGGTTAGGCAGCCTAGGAAGCAGCATTTTCACTGTGAGAAAAAGGTACTTTAAGACAATTCCAAACAAAAAATCAGTCACAATTCACAACATGTGAGGGTACATAACTAGATAAAGATAAAAAGTGAGACAATGCTAGGCCCTGCCACTGTGTGACTACAGGGAAAAGCGACACAGGGTTCATACTAATGCAGACTGCTGGGCTCCAGAGTGTCCGCACTGAGCATAGAAAACTGGGTATTCTGCTTTTTATGGGTTTTGTTATCCCATATCAGGGTCCGGAGTCTTAAGGTTTCAAGGTGTCTTCAGTGGCACAAGACCTTCAATCTTGTGTTCAGGGCTTATTGGAGACCTGCAATTTGTGTGAGTGTGCAGGTGTGCATACTCATAAGCAAGGCTTGGGTAAAGCTCAGGGCTCCAGCCAAGAGGGAGGTATGCTCCTGTTTGAAAACAGATGTATGTTCATGCTAGGTGACAAGAGTGATCTACTCAGGAGACAGTACTGCTTGTTGGAGAGATTCCATGTCCATCAGGCTGAGAGAGTTAAGGAAGGTAAGTGAGTCTGGGAGACAGAGAGAGTCTGGGAGACAGAGAGCATGGACAACTAGACAAGTCCAAGTGACTGAGGGAATCTGTAAGTCTTAAAGGAGTGAGAGAGCCTGGGGTGTTAGGAGAACCCCTAGTGAGAAGCCAGGAGGGGGCTCATACAGCAGGGAGCTGTAACTACAGGATGGGTGATTCAGGAAAGCCCAGAGAGCCTGCAGGCCTGGGTGGGACGGAATGAGGGTACCAGTGACAAGAGCAGCAGTATTGCTGAAGAGAGAGACAGGTGGCTTGGCATTTTCTGGTATGTTTTGCTGTGTGAAGCTGAAACCCCTGCATGGTTTGACTTCTGTTTTAATAAACGTGGACTGCCACACCCTACAACTACAGTTCAGACAGATGTGAGCGCACTAAAAATGCATCTACCACTGAGCTAAACAACCCCCACATCAGAAAATGAGAATTCAATTGGGCTTCGTAGCATGTAGTCCTGGCTGAAAGCCCCTTAAGACCACACCACAGCCAGTGCCTTTGTTTCCTGCTGCCCGATAGGGCAGTGTGGCTGTGATGAGTAAGCAGGAAGGAATTAGGCATGCGCCCGGCACATTCAGCAGCCAGAATTATCTCCACCAACCAGTACCAGGGAAGAGGAGGAAGTGTCCTCAGTGTAGGAGGGGTTGCAGCCTTTTTATTGGAAAGCAAGGGATCTGAGCAGGACAGGATTGGTTGCAAGTGCAGTCAGGCTTACAGTCATGGCCGAAATTGTTGGCACCCTTGATATTTTTCCTGAAAATCAAGTATTTCACACAAAAAAAGGTATTGCATTAACACATGTTTTGCTATACACATGTTTATTCCCTTTGTATGTATTGGAACAAATATAAAACAGAGGCAGAAAAGCAAATATGACATAATGTCAACAAAACCCCAAAAATGGGCTGGACAAAAGTATTGGCACCCTTAACTTAATATTTGGTTGCACACCCTTTGGAAAACATAACTGAAATCAGTCGCTTCCTATAACCATCAATAAGCTTCTGACACCTCTCACCCGGAATTTTGGACCACTCTTCCTTTGCAAACAGCTCCAGGTCTCTCTTATTGGAAGGACACCTTTTCCCAACAGCAATTTTAAGATCTCTCCACAGGTGTTCAATGGGATTTAGATCTGGGCTCATTGCTGGCCACTTCAGAACTCTCCAGCGCTTCTTTGCCATCCATTTCTGAGTGCTTTTTGACGTATGTTTGGGGTCATTGTCCTGCTGGAAGACCCAGGATCTTGGACGCAAACCCAGCTTTCTGACACTGGGCCCTACAGTGCGACCCAAAATCCTTTGGTAATCCTCAGATTTCATGATGCCTTGCACACAGTCAAGGCACCCAGTGCCAGAGGCAGCAAAACAACCCCAAAACATCATTGAACCTCCACCATATTTTACCGTAGGTACTGTGTTTTGTTCTTTGTAGGCCTCATTCCGTTTTCGGTAAACAGTAGAATGATGTGCTTTACCGAAAAGCTCTATCTTGGTCTCATCTGTCCACAAGACGTTTTCCCAGAAGGCTTTTGGCTTACTCAAGTACATTTTGGCAAACTGTAGTCTTGCTTTTTTATGTCTCTGTGTCAGCAGTGGGGTCCTCCTGGGTCTCCTGCCATAGCGTTTCATTTCATTTAAATGTCGACGGATAGTTCGCGCTGACACTGATGCTCCCTGAGCCTGCAGGACAGCTTGAATGTCTTTGGAACATGTTTGGGGCTGCTTATCCACCATCCGGACTATTCTGCGTTGCAATCTTTCATCAATTTTCCTCATCCGTCCACGACCAGGGAGATTAGCTACAGTGCCATGGGTTGCAAACTTCTTGATAATGTTGCGCACTGTGGACAAAGGCAAATCTAGTTCTCTGGAGATGGACTTGTAACCTTGAGATTGTTGATATTTTGCCACAATTTTGGTTCTCAGGTCCTCAGACAGTTCTCGTCTCCTCTTTCTGTTGTCCATGCTTAGTGTGGCACAGACAGACACACAATGCAAAGGTTAAGTGAACGTCTCTCCTTTTTATCTGCTTTCAGGTGTGATTTCTATATTGCCCACACCTGTTACTTGCCCCAGGTGAGTTTACAGGAGCATCACATGCTTGTAACATTCTTATTTATCCGCAGTTGTGAAAGGGTGCCAATACTTTTGTCCAGCCCATTTTTGGAGGTTTGTGTGACATTATGTCGAATTTGCTTTCTTTCCTCCCTTTTTTTGTTTTGTCCCAATACACACAAAGGGAATAAACATGTGTATAGCAAAACATGTGTTAATGCAATACGTTTCGTGAGAAATACATGATTTCCTGGAGAAATATCAAGGGTGCCAACAATTTCGGCCATGACTGTAGCTCCATGCACTGGACTCAGGGAAAAGGAGGAGGACAAAGTGTTCAAGAGGACTTTAAGCCTGGGAGCCAGGAACAGTCTACAAAGCTGTAGAGCAGGCTTTGCTGTACGGTGAACAGGGGAACCAGGATTGTACATAGCATAGAGGCTGCGGAGGGCAGAGAAAATGAGGCTGCTGCAGTCTGTATGCACAGCAGGAACAGAGTAGAGAGAGTCACCAGCCAGGGACACAAACTGCGAGCTCCAAAGAGGGAAAAAAAACAAACTAGTAAGGAGTTTTACCCCGGGCTTTTTTTCTCAGAGAATGTGTGCAGAAACTCAACCCGCAGGGGAAGAGTGCTTTGCATCAAATGGTGGGTGTGGCCAAACTGAACAGTTGAAGGGGGTTAATTGGGCATTAAAGCGGAACTTCACTCTCTCAGTCAGCAGTGAATATTGTTATTCCTTATCCTGCTAGCATTAGTAAATGGATAAGGAAGTACATCATATTTACTTGTTTTAAACTTTTTTTAACGTCTCTTCAGTCACTTCCTGGTTTCCATGCCTTGGCATACATCCCAAGAGACTTCAGGAGGGAAGGAGGGGTTTTCTCAGCTAAGCACACCCTCCTGCCTGCATGCCTAAGCTGAGGGCAGATGGATTCCAGGCAGTACATGCTACATTAATCATCTGCCCCTATTCAAGAAGGCACAGCCAGAAATGATAATGGGAGTTTTTCAAAGTGATTCCTTAAAAAAATAAAGTATAGAGACATAAATGGATGAGTGAGTTTGCTTTGAATATTAAAAATGAATTACATTACATTTTTGGTTTGTGGTGCTCAGAGACAGTGTAGTTCCACTTTAAACACCAGGAGTGGGTTACATACAGAGTGCAGGGTTCAGGAGTGCGTTACATACAGAGTGCAGGGTTCAGGAGTGCGTTACATACAGAATGCAGGGTTCAGGAGTGCGTTACATACAGAATGCAGGGTTCAGGAGTGTGTTACATACAGAATGCAGAGTTCAGGAGTGGACTATGTACAGAGTACAGGGTTCAGGAGTGCGCTATATCTAGAATGCAGAATCCAGTAGTGTGTTATGTACAGAGTTCAGGAGTGCGCTATGTACAGAGTGTAAAGTTCAGAAGTGTGCTATGTACACAGTGCAGAGTTCAGGAGTGTTCTACGCACAGAGTACAGAGTTCATGAGTGTGCTAAATACAGAGTGCAGGGTTCAAAAGTGTGCTACATACAAAATGCAGAGTTGAGGTGTGAACTACGTACAGAGTGGTAGTTCAAGAGTGTGTTATGTACAGAGTACAGGGCTCAGCAGTGCACTACGTACAGAGTGCAGGGCTCACGTACAGGAGTGCACTACGTACAGAGTGCAGGGCTCAGGAGTGCACTACGTACAGAGTGCAGGGCTCAGGAGTGCACTACGTACAGAGTGCAGGGCTTAGGAGTGCACTACGTACAGAGTGCAGGAGTTTGTTATGTACAGAGTGCAGAGTTCAGGAGTATGCTATGTAAACTAGTTTATCTGCAAAGTATAATTTGTAATTCTGTTCAGCCTTTCTTGTGATCCAGAACCCTCCTGACAGACAGCTTTACAAGATGTTGGACCTCTCTGTAGACAGACAGTGCAAGGATTTTGGTCTACACAGACAAAGATGGGGTAGTGTGACAAGAGGGGAGAGTGTGACAAGAGGGGGGGCTGTGGGAGAGAAGGAAACAGTGTGACAGGAGGGGGGCAGTGTTCACAAGAAAATGCTAAACAGAACTTCATATCATTTGCAGATAAACTAGTTTGCATGTTTATTTCAACTGCATGTTGAGTTGGTAATTCTTAGCTTATTTTTAATATTTTACATGCAGCACACCAACTAAAAGCCTTAAAGGGTATATAATTATATAATCAGTCCCAGGGGCGGACTGACAATTTGGAAACTCGGGCACTGCCCGAGGGCCCGGGATCAGTAGGGGGCCCCATGAGATGCCCCTGGTACCTTTTTCAAAGGCTTTTTTGAGTTTGGGCAAGGACACAGGGCCCCATGATCCCCTATTGCCCGGGGGCCCCATGAGTTCTCAGTCCGCCCCTGATCAGTCCCAAGACTGTGTTATATTTACCAGCTCCAAAACCTACAGATAATTCCTTGAAACAGTTTTTTCTGTAACTTAAATGAAAAATACATACCCATGAAATTGTTTGTTGCCAGTTCATTGAGCTCTTTGTCATTGCATACTATTAAAGACTCCTGAATTGGTACCTGATAAGCATAAAATGAGATATTAGTTTATCTGAATGACCTTGAGAAGTACAGTTTGCAGAAATGATTGTGGGCACAATAACTAGAAAGATGGCTGCATGGTGATGTTGAGGAGATTGGCTGAGTAAGATTCTGGGTCTGTTTAGGAGCCTAACTGAGGTGTATGACTGTAGTGAGGATGATAATGATGAGATCAAGGAAGAGTTACAAGGCATGGTGAAGCAGATTTTGTGAAAATTATGATGGTTTGTGTAGTATGACACACTTAGTAAAATGGTGCATTGATAGCCAAATGTTGCAGACTAATGTGTTGTGATGGGTTTAACAATGTCCTACCTTTGTGTGCTGCACCAGCTCAATTGCTTTCTTCCCTTCAGCAGCCATTCCCTTCCACCCAAGCCTGCAAGACAACAGCTAATATGAATTTTACTTATTACAGGTTACAAATTAGAGTTAGTCAGATTTAAAAAAGACACAAGTCCATTTATTTTAACCAATTGAAAAAAAATAGAATAAAGAAAAAACCTCAATATACTGTACATATACCCACAATTGATACGGAGGAAGGCAAAAAACTCTATAAAGTAAGATAATTTTGCAAAGCGCTGCACAAACTGTTGGCGCTATATAAATCCTGTATAATAATAATATAATCCCAATTTGCTCCAGCAGAGCAAAATAAACTCCATCCTAATCTCCCAGAAGGCAATCGGATATTCCCTGAATCAACAATCTCTGTTGTTATTGCCTATAAATGTTAATACTTGGTTATAATTTGTGCATTTAAGAATGTACCCAGCTCTCTTTTTAAACAATCTACTGAGCTAGCCAGAACCAGTTCTTGAGGGAGTCTATTCCACTTTTTTGCTGCTGTTATGGTGAAGAAGCCTTTCCATCTGTGGAGGTTAAATCTCTTTTCACACAAACAAGAGTGCCCCTTGTCTCTTAGTTAAGACCAAGTTCACTATATGGACCGCTTATGTTAGATATTTATATAGTGACAACAATTTACACAGCACTGTAGTTACTATTACTATTGCACAGCACTATTACTTTACATTATACATTCACCTTAGTCCCTGCCCTCCATGAGCATTAGAATCTAAGGTCCCTACCTCACACATCCATACATACCAGGAGCCAGTTAACCTACCAGTATGTCTTTGGATTTTTGGGCAGAAAATGGAGTACCTAGAGAAAACCCACACAAGCACAGACAGTACATGCAAACTATGCAGGTAGTGGTTGGAATACGACCTGATGGCCATATTGCTGGCAAGGCAGGATAGCTAACTACTAAACAACTGTGATGCTCATTTTATTTAATATATAAAGGGGTTGATTTACTAAAACTAGAGAGTGGAAAATATGGTGCAGCTCTGCACAGAAACCAATCAGCTTCCAGGTTTTATTGTCAAAGCTTAAGTGTTACTAAATTCACCACAGTAAAATTAGTCTGTATATGCAGTAAAGCATGCTTACTGTAAAATTAAGGGGTTAATCCTCCATTGTGTAAAAAGGATGTTTGATCCTGTCTTCTCTGATTCTCCCCTTCTTCTACTGTTCCCAATCCATCTTCTGATAGAACAGAGCCTTGGGAGCAAGCTGCATGTGCTCAGTTTGGTGTGTATTGCTAGAGAGTTTTTTTTTTCTTGGGAGAGTGCATGTGATCAACACAGGGTCAATCAGCACTGTCCAGACAGAGGGTCAGGGGTCCTGCAGCCTCATCGGACAATCAGGAGAATGAAAACTCCTCTCCAAAGCTTTAACCAGTGCTCTGCTGGACACTGATAGAAGTCACAAGACTGCTCTAACTGCTGATGAGAAAAGGTATTTAGCAGTTTATATTTACTAAACTAACTTCATTTTAATATTCTGTGTACTGGGGGAGACCAGATACAGTGAATGCAGGGTCCGAGGTTTAATAACACTTTAAATGAACAAGCTAAAGTTAGAAGCTGATTGGCTGCTATGCACAGCTGCACCTGGTATTGCACTCTCCAGTTTTAGTAAATCAACCCCAAAGTGCTGATAGAAGTGGAACATCAAATTGTGAACCTTATGTGTGTCCTGTTAGGCTGGCCATAAACAGCTTGATAAAAGTAGGCACTGCTTCAGATTTCAAGGATATTTTCTGATTACTGTACTCTCTGAACATCAAGAGGACAATAGCAAATATTTAAAGTAAATATGTGGCCAGACTATAGATGTTAAAGTACTGACATATTTTAGGAAGCAGCAAGTAGGCATCAAAACAAGTCGTTGCCACTGTGAAACAATTCATCCTGCACAGAAAAAGCACTGAACGTGATCTAATCATTTTTTCTGCATCTCATCTTGTACTGTCCCATTTCCATAGCAGTGACTTGCCAGCCTTACAGTCTGCTGATAGACCATTTCAATAACCTAAATACGTTTTTTTTTGAGGATTTAAGAGGATGATGTGCTCCACAGTGTCTGCAACAAAATAGGTGGTTTTATTTTAATACTAATTTACTTACTGTTAAGAAAAAGTAAATAATTGAATGTCAATAGCCTGGCCAGGCAGTTGGGGGCATTTGGATGAAATCCAACCCAATAATACCCCCCCGAGACCAGGGCCAATCTTTTACTCTTCCATGGATGACAGTGAAATAGCAGAAATTTGCCATTGTACTGCCGTCTGCATCAGGATAGATCAGGATAAATCAGGCAGGTACAAGTTTCCATCTAAGTCATGTGAGGATGAGCAGATATCCCCCTGCACATTGTCCACATGGAGATGTCTGCCTTTCTATGGCCAGCTGTAGTGTACTGTATGCTGGGTGTAATATTTTTACAAGTGATACAGTGATTAGATGCATTATACTGGGCAGTATATTAGTATATATTGCATTTGTGTCATGGACTATCAATCATGTTTTTGGATGTATAGGTGAATAATATTAACTCTAATCATCATAACCATTTAGCTTTTTATTAAGATTGACGACAGAGCACTTGGGACTTTACTCACATGGTCTGTGCTTCCCGAAAATATTTCAGTGCGAACTCCACCATGGTGTAATGTGCTGCCTCAGTGGGTTGTGGTAAAGGACTTTGGAATGTGAGTTGTGGTGAAGGATTTTGTAATGACCTCTCGCTCCCTTTAGTACTCTGACAAAACAGATCACCGGATTACACATTTAGCTTCTTTAGGAAATAAACAGCCTACTTATCATTTCCACATTCTAAAAGTGTTATTAAACCTACAACAGTAAAATCAGCCTGTATATGCAGAAAAGAATGCTTGTTATATTCACTGTGGAACATCAGGTGTTAATCCTCTGCATTGTGTAAACGCTGTTTGATCCTGTCTTCTCTGATCCTCCCCTTCTTTTGCTGTCCCCAGTTTGTCTGCCATAGTTAGAGCAGCAGTGGCAAGTCTGCACATGCTCAGTCTAGTGTGTATTGCTAGATAATTTTTTTTTTTTTGCATTGAGAGTGCCTATAATCAGCACAGGGCCAATCAGCACTGTCTAGACAGTGGGTCAGAGCTTATGCAACCTCATAGAACAGTCAGAGGAGAAAGAATACAAGATTAACCAGTGCTCAGCCAACACTGATAGAAGTCACAATACTGATATATACTATTGATGAGAAACATTATTTTGCAGTTTATATTTACTAAAATAATTGCATTTCCATGTTCTGTGTATTGTCCAGATAAAGTGAATGCAGGGTCCTGGGTTTAGTAATACTTTAAAGTCTAATAAAAGCAATTCATAATGCTTTAAAATGAGAAATTTGATTCATGGTAAATGTGTCCATGTCCATCAAGTCTACATGTTAAGAAAGTACTTTAAAAAAAGTAAACAAAACGCAAAGAAGAGCATTTTACAACACAATTCATTGGATAACAATTGGAAAAATTCCAAACATCTGATATTTTTAACTTCAATTTGATTCTGCAAAATTGATTGAAACCAATCGAAATGATGGTGAAAAATGATTGGTAATTGCTACAGTTGGTTATGATTGCAACTATCACAGCTGCATTCCACAACAATCGGGAAGCCCTGGGTACCTCCAGAGCGGCTTGATAGCGTGACCACAGCCTTCTCCATCCAGTGAACCAGGACTGTGATTGATAACAGACACCGATCTAGCGCTACAAACCTGTTCATTATCTCTTTGGCATCTACTTTGTGTTATTAAACCATTATTTTAAATCCTACACATAGATAGCGCTTCCCTTGATTGTTCTTTCAGAGTGATCTCCTGCTCCATGGAATAAGCTGCCATTGAGTGGACTAATTTATCATTAACCTATAGAATCTGTTTGGACTATATCATACAGTGTGCTTGACACCATCACTCCCCCTTATTGTGCCCATCTATTGTTTATTCATAATTATCTGCTAATTTTTCATTATTTCTATTTTTTACCACTGCAACTTTTTTTTTTTTTTTAAGTGTTCCAAAAAACGTTGTGCTTTGCACAAGAAATTTCATTTTAGTGTAATTCGAAATATGAAGAATTATCGTATACTTTTGATCCACAGTAACATGGCTTAGTTTACAACTAATACTTCTTTTTGTCTATAGATATAGTTAAGTTATGACAGAGTTATCTCTGAGTGGAAAGGCCAGTTCTCTAGCTGTGCTGGGTATGTAGCCTCCTCTCCTCCAATGATCAGACTTATGCTGACAACCCCATACCTCCACCCCATTCCCCCCACACAGCCATTCACTGGGAAGTTCAGTGTGCTGAGGTTTCTCCTCTCTGAGATCCTTATGCAGCTGAGAACAGAGGGTAAAGTGATCACTTAAAAAAAAAAGGGAAAAAAGGTATTTATAATGTGTTTTTATATGTATACACAAATGTTTTGCCTCTTCAGTACTGTCATTTTAGTGTCTTCTATATCACACTTGTGCTTCCCCTCCACCAATCACCAGATGTGCTCTCACCTGGAGCTTTTGACCATTCATAACATGCAAGGTCAAAAAGTGCTTGTGTTCGTTTAATTTGTCTTTATAGTTTCTCCTCCTGGGCACAGATCATCTCCTTCTCTTAGACACAGACAAAATCCTCCATTCACATTCTCTTTCTCCTTTCTCCTCCACACAACATAAAAAGCAAATAGGCAAAAGATAGTGCTTTATGCCTAAAACACTTTATTTCCATAGTAAAATCAGTACAGAAAACCACTCACATGTTCCTGGTTCTCCATCACACCAGATATAACCAGCAATCAAAATACAGTATATACTGTGCACATATATAAGCATTCTTGTGTTTACCAGTCCGCTAATCTCTGTGAGCATCGTAACATGGGTTATGTGGCTTCCTCAGGGTGGTATGATTGGGTGTCACCACTCTCTGCCTATTGATAGGTTGTTACTCGCAGCCATTTTGTTGTAGTCCTCCC